ACTCTTTCGGCCAAGAAGAAGATGTTGAGCATTCCGAATGAAAAATTTTCTTTCTCATTCCATTGGGAGAGCGCAGTCACAGGCTGTACCCTAACAGCCGACCGTCTGGCCGCTTCTGGGCTTATAGAATCCGCACAGCGTCGGTTCTGTGGAGCTGCCAAGGAATCTGCTTCACACTTTGTAGAAGAGTGTACAGCATTGCCAGCAGACCTTTTGCAACCTTCGACCTGCTTTTTCTTTGGACCGAACTTTGCTCAGCTGGGTATCATCGAGATCCCGTTTGAAGACATTCGTGCGAAGCTCCAAGTCTCCCAACCTTCTGAGCTGCAAGTCCACGCTTGGGGCGCACAAGTCCCAGCTGTGAAACATGTTTGGACGGATGGCTCAGTTCAGCTGTCAAACCATCCATGGTTGACTGTGGCCTCCTTTGCAGTTGTGGGTGAGGATGAACAGCTGTTGAGCGCAGGCGTAGTCCGGCACTGGCGACTTTCTAGTTATAGTGCTGAACTCTGGGCGATTCTAGCTGCTTTTGCGGTAGCTGACAGTCCCACGGTGGTACATACGGACTCCTTGACTGTAGTGAACCAATTCAACGATCTTCTCCGACAGGGAGTGGTGCAAATTGACTGGACCCACTCCAATTGGTGGGGGTTTCTACATGCCCTCATACATCAAAGGAGCTGTTTCTGTGAGTGTCCTCTACAGCTGGTTTGGTGCCCATCGCACCTTTTAGAACATATTCCTGCTGAATGCGTGACAGATGCTGAAGCAGCCGCAGTGGGATCGAGTGCACGTGACATCATCCTGAATCGTCTTGCCGATCGATATGCCAAACAGCAAATCCATACACTGGCAGGTAAGATCAAGGCTGAGATGCAGGTCAAAGAAGCAGATGTTTCTGCGCGTCAGTTGTGGCTTGCTAAACTTAATCGTGTTTGTCGGAAACCCGAAGGGCCTGCCGCGCCTGAGGTTGTCGCGATGAGAACACCGCCACCTCGCATCCCCCCTTCGCCAACAATGTCCGCGGTGGCCATGGGATGTCCCCGTTGATCAGTACCCATGGCATTTTCCAAATGATGCGCAGATGTCATATTCCAGCACCAAAGCCCTTACTGAAGTGAACTTTCGCACCTTCCTCCAATTCAGCAACACTCTGAAATGGCGGGTTGGCGATGGTCTGGCATGCTCCGTATTCGAGCTTGCTGTTCTGGCTTTCCATCAAGGTTCGAGATTTGTACTCCCAGCCGGGACAGTATGCACAGTGCAGGCCTACGCGGCCATAGTTCGTGCAGCCATCACTTACTGTAAGGGCAGACAGATTGCGATCGCCCCCTCTCTTCTGCAGAAGGGAACAAATGCAACGGCAAGACCTTCCCCAAAGGTGCCTTTTTTGGCACTGAAGCCTTTTTAGGCAATACGCTTCTTGAGATGCTTGCTCGGGCTTTTGAGAAGGGTGCAAAGGCCACTCCTTTCTCTTGGGCCATTCCCTTTGACTCGCTGCTGTGAGTCTCGGTTGCTTCCGAATAGATGGAATCCTGACCCTGGACGCGGAACGCTTCAGGGTCGCCGTGACCTCGTCATACGGCGTGAGAGCAAAAAAAGGAAGCTCCCCTAGCCTGAGGGCGTGGGTAGCTTCCTTGAAGAAGCGCCCACACTAATGATTAATGATTTGGTTCCTATGGGTGTCAAAGGCAACCTGGTAGAGCGCCTGCCAAAACAAGGGTAAGGAGGCCCTATGGGCAGCGGGGTTGAAACTTCCGGCCGGAACATCAGCCAACACCTCTCCAAGCCGCACTCCTTTTTTCTCAGTCATAGACTGGCAAGCTGGGGTATGAGGCCATGTCCGCTGGCGTGATCAAGATGAAGTCAGCGAAGAAGGAGGGCCACGCAAAATTGAAAAGTTTGGCGCCTGCGGCCTTTAAAGCTTCTGCGCAGCGCAGGAAATTGGAGACTGCTGCCGTAGCACGGAATGGCAAAGCAAATGGAACAAACTTGCCTTTGCAGTTGTAGGATCAAAAACTGAAATCCACGCCGCGTGCAGGTGCTCAGGACAAATGCTCAACCACGTGACTAGCTTAGAGAAAAAGGCCCTCTACCACTTGCGAGGCGGCGCAACTCCTGGGGTGGAGAGAAGGGGCGCGCCAGCTTTCGGCGAACAAGCCTAAGCTTTCCAACCAGCCAAACAAAGGAAAGCCTTTCGACAAACGTTCATGCCACGCAACAACACACGCTTCCCCCGCATCACTTTGGCGAGGTATGAAGGCATGTCATTGCACAAAGCTTGCTCATGCCCGCTGAAGACTTCTTATTGCGGCGACAGCGTGGCCGAAGAATTGTTGTCTTAACTTCAGCGTTTTTAGTGGAGCCAAAGCTTGATGGGCCGCCACAGCAGCTGCGACAGCTTCGCTCACCCGGCCAGCATGCTCCACTGGGTGTACCAGCTCACGCACTTCATCCAAGAAAGCAAGCGGTCCCCGGCAAAACCAACCATGGGAAGCCCAGGTCGTCCGGAATACAGCTACCAAGCAGAATCAGAATACCCATCAAACCAGGCTTCAAATGCAAATTGCACGATAGGGGTTGCAGAAAATCTGCTAATAGCGGCCGTAACTTTCCACCACGCGGCTGCCATCCCAAACTGGCTCGGTTTTGCAAGTCCACCTCATAAGGCTCGAAGGAGGCCAGACTGACCACTGTTTATGGAAGGCAGAGTTGCCGGGGTATCAGTGGAGCCAGTTCGAACCGTGCGCTGTCACTCACGGTGTAAAACAATGAAAGCGGAAGAATTGCTCAAAATATGGAACCCTGCGCAAGCGTCCACGCCAAACTCGCGTAAATCTGCAGACACTGACACAACACACGGTGCTTGGGGATGACTCCGCCAAAAACTGTCAACGCCATTGCACAACAGGCGTAGACAAACCACAAAAGCGCCAAGTGCGTCCACGGCCGGTCAGTGCGGCGCACTGGTTGAGAATGCACGCATTCATGTCTCGCGCGTTGTCATGTAGAGGCAGCAGTCCAAATGCAACACAAAAAATGGAATCGGAGGCCAAACCTTCCAACAACAAGTCCCGCTGCAGGGGCGCCCGCAGATCATGTCTCAATTGTGATGCCTGTAGGTCACGCTGCCGTCAATTCGTCGCCCTTCTGAATATTCGAGCCAGCTTCGTCTGCAACAAGCTGCCAGAGTTCTTTGCTGGCTCGCGCAAAGGCCCCACGTTGGGCGCCGGCCGGCCGACTCAGGTGCGCCAGAAATGCATGTGAGATATGGCATCCAATGTAGAAAAGATGATCAAACAAACTTGATCCGCAGCGAGCACGCCGCAACAAAGCCTGCGGCACCTTCAGCGCAGACCCAAGATCTGTATGGATCGAGTTGATTTGTCCAAAGTCAGCAGCTGCTTGTTGCCTGCGACGCTGCCCATTTCATTTTCTTGACTGACGCAAGTGTGCAAGGCCACAAAGTGTAGGCACGACACTTGTGCCATTTTGGTGAACTTGTCCGCCAGGCAATGCGCAGGTTCGGTGGCATTGCAAATCAGAACCCCCTTCAGCCTCTCTCGCTGATCTCATCACCGTGTCCCGAGACCAGTTTACATTTTTACGAATAGCCGCATCAAGCTCAGGTGGAATGCAGCTTGTGATGAGTCTGGGGCGCTTTGCGTACATGGCTTTTTGCAAAAACTCATCAATGGTCCAAGGCACGCCGAAAAAGCCCTTGGTGGAGGTTGCAGCACACGACGCCGACTGGCTGTGGCCAACCTCTGGACTTGTTTCTTCCCCCGACTGGTTTTCGCCTACCTTCGGACTTGTCTCTTCCCCCACGTAATGCATTCGAAGGAGGCGGGAACCTAAGGGTAACGCCGTGACTGGCGGGTCACTGTGCATATTAGGAGGAACTGGCCAGTCTTGCGTCAACTCAGGGTTGGGGAAACAAGCAAGAGGGCCTTTCAAAGCAATGGCTTGTTTGAAATCAATCGCTAATGATCACTAATGGAGGTAGACGTTTTTGCGGTCGCAAGCCCATTGCAGCCTGACTCAAGCGAAAACTCTGCTTTGGTTCGGCATAATGGCTCCGCGTCTCTGAACCTGTTCTAGGAAAAGCGAAGGCATCGTCTTGCAAAGTTGCACAGGATAAGCTGTGCCCTCAGCCGTCGCCTTATTGAGGCCCCATTCTGAATGCTCACGCTGACCGTCGCACAGCACATCGAGTTGAGAGAAAGCTGGGACAACGTGTTTGATTCTAGTTTTCTTGGCGCGTTCCACGCCGAACATGCAATGGTGGAGGGCAGAATCCGTGGGCAACCCTGAAGCATGTTCATGCCAACCAGATGTCAACCACACGTAACTCCTCCAAGGGTTCGCAACCGAACACAGAATTCCTAACTCGATGCATTTTGCACAAGCCAGCGATGTGAAGGAATACAGGGAATTGGCAGCGTCAACACGTTGTCACAAGGTGTCAGGCAAATCCGCAAAACCATCAGGTTCAGTTTCTGATCTGAGGCTGACTGGATCAGTGGCACCCTGCCTGATGTCCCTTGCGCAGGACGCCGTTCCATATGGTGGTGCGAAGTGGACCCAAATCAGGTCAACATGTCGAAAAAATATCTCACCGTGCATCGAATTTAAGTCAAGAACAGTTGCCGGACACCTCAGCCCACGACTTAACTTGTGGTCAATGCCATAGGCTTCATGCACGCCGATCTTTCTGACTTCTGCGGTGAGACGGCCGGTACCACAAACAACCTCAATGAAGAAAAGTTCACGAAGGTCCCTGCCTGCAACACGTCCTTTTGCTTTAGCAATGAACATGTCCAGACCCGGCTCCTGGCTTCATTTGTGATTCTGCATACTATTACTATGGGGCTTGCCGCACTTGGGTTCGGCGCAGACGCGCAAGCCCCTGCCACATGCTTGACCTGTTTTGACACCACTATCACACCTGGCGCTCAAATTGTAATTCCAGCAGATCCTCTTGCCGGTCTTAGTGACCGTCACCTTGTCGGCCAACTCTGGTGGCAGATTGGCTGGTTTTTACCTTTGCCTTTGCCTTTTTTGTTTGAGTCTTGATCACCAGTGTTTGCACGTTTCCAACCCGAATCGGTGTCAGCCACACGCGCCGGTCGCTTCTTGCCTTGAAGTGGAAGCAGATGGAAGGTCACCTGCAGATCGCTTTCGAGCGCAGGCAAGGCAGTGTCTATGGGTCTGGTACCATCAGCCTTCTGCTTGATGCCCTCTGTGAGCTTCTCACTAAGACGAAAGAAAGCATGCCGGTCGGTGGTGCGGCCTGTAGGTGTGACATTTAAAACGCATTATACAACTCCATACATGCATACGTCGAAGAACCTACAAGGTCCATGGCCAACGCACGATGCGTCAACGCCTGGTAAAGCCAGAGTTCTGTGGATGTATCGCAGCTGAGCTCTTTACGACGGTCCTGTACTTTCAAGCTTGCACTCACATCAAGAACTATCTCTTTATTGATACATTCGTGCGACAACTCAGCCCGGCGAGTCGGGAACTTCGAAGGCGCTAAATATATGATGGTATCTTTCTGCAACATATCCGTGATGAGCTTCTGCGAGTAATGCCAGCGTTCGAACTCGTTCTGCAACGTCAACCCCGTCAGCCTGGCCTTCTGCTTAGCTATGCGATCCTTGCGTTCTGGTGCAGCAAGTTCCGTTTTCGCTTGCGACTCACTACCAGTGCCTTCGATCATGGTTTTTACATCTGCAAGGGCTAGCGTCTGCGAAATGAACACCAGCCTTGGTGTTGAAGCAACGATGCCGAGTGGCACTGGATTTCCTGCTGCATCTTGAACGAGCCTTTCAAGATCTGTATGGGTTGGAGTCGCGCCAGGTTGACCTATTGCAAAGGCTAACTTTCCTAGGTTCGAAATGCCCTGGCTTTTGATACGGGCCAGTTCAACATCAGGCAGTCCACACTCTTTGGCCTTTTCGTCGAGAACGGCTTCGCTTTCAAGTATGGATGCCGTTGCACAAAACCCCCTACGTGGAGACTGTCAACTTCAATGACATAACTGACACGACGCACAAAAAAAACAATTGTCAAAGCATCATGTCACGCGCAGGTCGCTGCAGTAAACACAAATCACGTGGCATGTTAAGCTCGGTTGTACGATGTTCCCTGCGGGATACATCTGACTTTGTCAATCCAAAGTCCCGCCTTGAACCCACATCGGCGCGCCGAAGAGATCGACAAAGTTAAAAGATCAATACCCACGGCATTGATCCACTTTGCCATACTTGAAAACAACCATACGCATCAGTTGTGATTCAAAACAGCATGCATTTCCATGACACACATGGAGTGATTGCATGACACGAGATCGCAGGGAAAACGCCATGAACGTGTTTTCACACCCCAGAATGAAAAGCGCAAAACAGAAGCAAGTAAAAAGATAGCACATTCAACTCACAACGTACAAGCCTTAAAAGAGAGAATTGAACGCTGCCATCTTCTTACGCAACATGTTCATAACATGCCCGTACGACACGTCTACCATCGAAACACCTGCCCAGACTTGAAGTGGAACAACGAGAATCTGTTAGTTGAATCGATCCACAACTCAACAGTTTTCACTTTTCGGAGCATGTCAGGTGAAACTCGCGGCGCATCTGGGCCTAGCCTTTGTCTCTTCAAGAAGTGGCTGGGGCCCCGCGATCTCTGATAGGTTTCCCAGTGTCACATTGTTTACACTTCGATGACTCTGAGAAAATCGCGCCAACGGACACTTCAAAGTCATTGCTTTTCTTGCGGCCACACACAAAGTTTTCGTAGGCACTCCCTTTGGCGATCAAATGCAAAGTTTCGGTTCTTTTACGCCTGAACACATCACATTCGGGCTTCCAAACCAACGAGGCCGCCCCCGACGGGTGTCCTAATTTTCAAAGCGGGGGGAGGAGGGGTGGTCATGGCTACTACTACTTTTCCCAGTTCGAGGTGGGGGGGCGCAGCACAGGATCCTTCTTTGAGGTCCTCGTGGCACAGGATCCTTCTTCAAGGCCCTCGTAGCACAGGATCCTTCTTTAAGGTCCTCGTAGCACAGGATCCTTCTTCAAGGCCCCCGTAGCACAGGATCCTTCTTTCAGGTCCTCGTAGCACAGGATCCTTCTTCACGGCCCTCGTAGCACAGGGGGGTGGCCACGAAGCACAACAGGATCCTTCTTTAAGGCCCTCGCAGCACAGGATCCTTCCCTTCTTTAAGGCCCTCGTAGCGCAGGATCCTTCTTCAAGGCCCTCGTAGCACAGGATCCTTCTTTCAGGTCCTCGTAGCACAGGATCCTTCTTTAAGGCCGTCGTAGCACAGGATCCTTCTTCAAGGCCGTCGTAGCACAGGATCCTTCTTTAAGGCCCTCGCAGCACAGGATCCTTCTTTATGGCCTGTAAGAAGGGTTCGACGGGGGGGTTTAAAGCCCTCGTGCGATTACCTCACTGACCGTCAGAGTTCTGCTTTGTCTGATGGTTTTTCGATGCAAATAGCTGTCTCGGGTCACGCCCCTCACCCACGGCGATTCTTTGACATTCTCCGCTGGCAGTCCAGCAACGTGGATGCAAAAGTTTAAGCACTGCGCGCAATCTGTCACACCAGAAAGCTTGTTCAGTTGCTTCAACGTTGCAAGATAATTTTGCACGTCAACGGTTCTGAAAGGTATGAAGGGATATGTACCAAGGCCTTCCGAACAGTGCTGCCAAAACCTCGGAACTGAGTTTGCACGTTTAGCCAAAGCGGCTGTGTTTTTCAGCAAAATTTTGACCAATGAAACCCAGCAGCTGAATATTGTCGTCAAACATACCTGACAGAGATTCACAGATTTCGCTTGCCTCAACATTGCGCAGGTAAATCAGCCTCCACTTACGCTGAACCTCATCTCGTCTGTCGTCGCGATTACCAGCTTTCCACTGCGAGCGAAATCTGACACTGCTCAAGAATGCTGGACCTGCAGGTTGTTCAAAGACTTGTCTTGCAACATCTTCAACCGAGGCCGCGGGTTGATCAAAATCACATCTTCAACCGAGGCCGCGGCTTGATCGAAATCACTAGGTTTCTCAATACGATAATCCGGCACTTTCACAAAACAATCATTTTTCCAAGCCTTTCTCCCAAGGCATGACTATCTTGGTAAGTTTGGTAGTTTTCATCAAAGCTTCAAACAGCGTTCGATCAACTATTTCCTTCGGAAAGTTGGCATGCTGAGAAGAACGACAATCGACTGACTTTGCCGCACGAAACTCATCCAACGCAGTCTCCATATTTGGTTCCCGTCTGGGTTCCATTTCAGCAGGAAAAGCACATGGCGAGGAACCAAGATCTTGAACGAATCTGCAGATGAAACATGGTCCGGTTCCCTTGGCAAAGTCACGCCCTACCCACCCAACCCTGGAGCCAAATGTAACCATTACAAGTGCATTAAGACTTCTCCACCTCCGGTTGGATACGTGTCATCTACACAGTGACAGGAACTCGTGCATCGGCGTTCTTGGACACCGCGAAACACGCTTTGCAATTGGTTGCAGAAGCGATGGTGGCCTGAGTAAGTTCGAAGTTGTCGGACAACGGCTTGCCGCATTCCAGGCTGCGCTTGTTATCTTGGCCAGTCAGACTCCAGAATATTTGCGGGGAAACTTTCCAACCCGCCGCAGGCTGACGAAATTTAGGCCGCGCAGGCACAGGAAGCAATGGTGTGTCATCTTCCAGATCTTCGGATCCGGCGTCAGAGTCCGAGGCCCCACAGTGACACATCGTCTCGCTCTTCTTGGCGAGCTAGCAGCGGCCCCTGCAACACACCGCTGCAAGTCATATCGGGACGAAAGCGACCCGCCCGAATCTCTTTTAAAACGCGAACTAGGCTGCGCAAGGGAGCAGCCATGGCATCGTGGCAGTAAGTTTCTGTGGGCAAAACACCGGGGGGATAGCCCAAAAATTTCGGGCCACGCCAAACTTGGCTAACCAATACAAGAGGGCGGTCTTTGAAGTGTATTTGGGCCGATCTCCCTCCGAGATCTGTAAGAGTTCTCGAGGGACGACGCCCCCTTCTGTAGAGGAAATCGCAAAAGCTGTCCGAAGGCCATGTTCATCATAGGCTAGGCGTAAAGGCGCCTTCAATTGGCGGTCAAGCCCAATTCTGCGCGCGCGTCCACCCACGCATTAAACCAAGACAGGCCCGACAGCGAAAAATGGGGCCGACCGCTGGCAGCAATTTCCGTTTCCGCTGCAAGGTGGTTGCCATCCTGTAATGTCGAATCGACAATTCAATGAACCCATCATAGGAACGCTGCTTGTCTTCGATCAAATCCAAAATGAGGGACTCGGCTCTCTGCCCGTCTCCAAATCTGCAGCGTGCATAGGACAAGCATGGACCCTGCTAAGAGTCGATACTGCTGGAGCGCCGACACAAACTTTCTCACACACGATCACATGGTCGACTGACCATGGTCGACTGTCGGATCTCCCTCAACACCAAAAAAATACCATGGGTGAAACGCACAGCCGCGACAAATGATTACGCAGAACTGGCGGCAGCCTGTTGGTCAGCTACGCGCTTGACATACTGGTATACATGGTCTGCTCGCAGAAAGGAATGGGTATGTTCTTGGTCCCGGAACACCAAAACAGGAATTTTCGCAAAGCGCCCAATCTTTTGACCAATGCTCCACAGGACTTCATAGACACAATGTCTGCGATGGAGTCAACAAGCAACATTGACCCCTTCCTTGAGGGCGGTGCGTCCTAGTGCTGACGCATGAGGCACTGACATGGTGGCTGCTCACCACTGCCGTAAAGTGGATACTCGACGAGCATCATCTTCTGCAGCTGTTGGTCGATGGTCCCGCTGGTGTCTGCTAAAGACACTGCGAAGTGCTGTCAACTTCTTGAGCTCAGGCTCAGCAGTTGGATGTTCGCAAATCAAATGTCATTGGACGGCAAAGACTCCGGATGTGGACGTTTCCACTTCAAAGAGAGCTGGGGCATGGCCATTTGCATCAGGAAACACGCCCCAAAGCAAAGCCCACTGCACCCCTGCTCCCACTTCATCTGTGGTTAGTGCAGAGCAAGATGTTATCTTACCCCAAGGGCTTCGTCGTAAGCCATGTGAGCACAAGAAAGCGGAAAGCAAAAATCCAACAACCGCAGTGCCACCACTGGAGCACCAGTCACATCACAGAAATGCACTGCGGTCTAAAAGTAAAACATGCAAGTTGTCCAAACCAAGATGCATGAACAAAATGGCCTCCAATTTCCTTATTCCAAATAGGAAGAGTGATACAACCTGAGCCCAAACAAACAGAGCAAAGGACCGAAGTCAGAACCCAAAGGCCCAGGGGTTCAGCAACCCACCAAGGGAAAAGACAAAGCAGGTGACACTAAACCCCGGTACAAACATCTTCAGACCTGGGGACCGTTCTCCACACAGGCGCCTACAATAAAGCAACATCAACAAGTTGTGGTAAGCATCAAAACGGCCCGCAAAAGAACGTGTTCGTCGCAGGTGTTGAGCTCACAGCTGTGACATGCTGTGACTCAAGCTCTAGTGTCTGGTCGTCCATTACTCTTCAAATGCATCGAGATGATATTGAAAAGATATATAGGTATATAGTGTTATATGTATAGAACCGATGGTCCCGCTCTCTGTGGTGATGGAATGTGATGGATTCGACCCCGAAACAATCTTCGGGGTCGAAAACCTCGTCTTTAGC